CTAAATCCATCAAATCAGATCTCAAACAGTCTTCCCACTTCCGCCTTAGTCGTCCTCTCCTTCTGGCACCGTCGACTGTAATCGACTCTACCCTCCTGACCGCATCCGACGATAGTCGCCTTAGGACATGCCCAAACCACCGTAGTCTTCCCTCTCTCAATTTTTCGAAAACAGGCACCACCCCCAAGGACATCCTAATAGCATAGTTTGTTGTCATATCCCATAGAGTCCTACCGCATATCCATCGAAGCATTCTCATTTCTGCGGCCTCTATCCTCCTTACATGATCCTTCTTGGTTGCCCAACATTCTGATCCATACAACAACACTGGTCTTATTTCCATTCTATAACATTTCCCCTTAAGTTTTAGTGGCACCTTCTTGTCACACAAAACTCCAGTAGCGGCCCTCCACTTTAGCCATCCCGCCTTTATACGGTGTGTAACGTCATCATCTACACCCCCATCTTTATGTATCATAGACCCTAGGTACTTGAAACAATCCTTTAAGGGGAGAACGTGTCCTTATATGCATACTTATACATCTTCATCGTTTTGGTCCCCACTGAAGTTTGAACATAAATACTCTGTCTTTTCAATATTGATCCTTAGACCTTTTTCTTCCAAAGCAGTCTTCCAGGTAGCCAGTCTACTATTCAACTCAGATTTTGTTTCAGCAACTAGGACAATATCGTCAGCGAAAACCATACACCATGGTACACCGTCTGGTGTCGCACAATAGATGTCGTCCATAATCAAGGCGAAGATGTAAGGGCTAAGAGCCGACCCTTGGTGGAGTCCGATTTCCACCGGGAATGCCTCGGTGTCGCCAACTGTAGTCCTGACGTATGTAGTAGATCTACAATACATATCACAAATCACCCGGATATAAGCAGTTGGGATCCGTCTCATTTCCAAAGACTTCCAGATTGTATCGCGGGGAACACTATCATAAGCCTTCTCAAGGTCAATGAACGCCATGTGAAGATCTCTAGACTTTTCCCTATATTTCTCCATAAGTCGTCGAAGTAGATGAATAGCCTCCGTGGTAGACCTGTCTGGCATAAGCCAAATTGGTTTTTCGAAACCCTAGTAACTTGTCTCAACCTAGCCTCTATCACCATTTCCTATAGCTTCATGGTATGGCTGAGTAGTTTAATACCTCTGTAGTTACCACAACGTTAGAGATCTCCTTTATTCTTATAGATTGGTATCACCGTGGACTCTCTCCACTCCTCTAGCATCTTGGCAGTCTCTAAAATAATATTAAAGATGTTGGTCAACCACTCAACTCCCTCTTATCCTAGGGCCAACCACACAATGATAGGAATTTGATCAGGACCGACAGCTTTGTCCCTTCCCCGTTTTGACTTCCTCAAACCCAATCCTACTTATAGGGCAGTCATTGGCCGTTGTATGATGGTCGAATGACCCATCAACGGTACTATCTCTACAGGTAGAGGCACCGTCATTAAATAAGCCAAAGAAGTAACTACCCCAAACCCTCTTAATATCATCATCTTTCACTAAAAGAACACCATTGTTGTCCTTAATAAACCTAATCCTACCTATATCCCTTTTCTTATTCTCCCAAGATTTTGCAAGCCTGAAGATGTCGTTTTGTCCTTCCTTGGTGTCTAATCTCTTGTACATTTTCTCGTATGCCTTATCCTTTGCTTTAGCCACCGTTTTCTTGGCTTCCCACTTTGCCTCCTTGTATCTTTGTTTAGCTCTCGACCTTTTTTCGTCGTCATTGCATTGTAGAAACTCCTTGAAGCAAGTTTACTTTTTCTTCACCTTAGTTTGTACTTCGTCGCTCCACCACCACGATTCTTTATATTCCTTGGCTTTCCCTGTCGACAACCCCAGGGTGTCTTTGCCCACTTCTCTGATAAAATTTACCATATTTTTTCCAAAACAAATCTGCATTATTTGAGTTTGTAGTTCCAAAATCTGAATTAGACAAAACCTTACTCCTAAAGTCATCAGAGACAGAAGTAATAGGAAGATTTGGCTTTCATAAAAGAATTACTTGAAGAAGATATTATCACGATTCAACATGCAAGATTGTAAGCCAATTTCTACCCCTCTTCCTATTAACTTCAAATTATCCTCCAGTATGAGTCCTAGCAGTGAACATGAGAGGATGAAGATGTCTCGAATGCCATATGCATCAGCAGTGGGAAGTTTAATGTTCGCTATGATATGCACAAGACCAGACATTGCATAAGCAGTGGGAGTGGTTAGTCGGTACATGGCGAATCCATGCAAAGAGTATTGGAATACAGTAAAGAGGATCCTGAGATATATCAAATGGACCTCAAATATTGCATTATGCTACAGAGGATCAAACTTACTAATCAATGGGTAAGTAGATTCTAACTATGCAGGGAATTTAGATAAAAACAAATCTACTACAGGATATGTGTTCAAAGTTGCTGGTGGAGTTGTAACTTGGGTTTCAAAATTGCATTCAGTTGTGGCTACATCCAGTAAAGAAGCAATTTGGTTGAAGATACTATTGGAGGAGCTTGAGCACAATCAAGAGTATGTATCTCTGTTTTGTGACAGTCAAAGCGCCTTGCATCTAGCAAGGAATCCGTCATTTCATTCAAGGACAAAGCACATACGAGTTTAATACCATTTTATTCGTGAAAAGGTGGAAGAAGGGACGATAGATATGCAGAAGATCCATACCAAAGATAACATAACAGATTTCATGACGAAGGCGATCAATGCCGATAAATTTACTTGGTGTCGATCTTCTTGTGGCATGTCAGAGACGTAAGCAACATGAAGGTAAAAGGTAGAAATAATGGTGTGAAGATATGATTGTTCCAATCAAATCTTCAAGTGGGAGATTGTTGAAATCTGGTGTACATGGCACCGAAATGTGATGTTGAAAAAAAATGAATTAAAAATGGGGCACCGAAAATTAGTTGGTGTTTTGGTTGTATTTCAACAATGGTAAAATCTCATTTTTAGTTATTGTAATTTAGGTTATTTATAAATTAGTCCTTAAGCTTCAACTATAAATACCCTAGCTCATTTTGCTTCAAAACCATCCCAAAACCATTATAGATTTCTCCCAATACTAGAGAATTTAGAGAGTTTATTAAGAGTTGTTTTCTCTTTTTATCAAGAGAGAAATATCATTGTTTTCTCCTTGGTAGATCGAGAGAAGTTGTAATTCTTATTTTCTCATAGTGAAATTCTTCTACCGTTGCCCATAGTTTTTACCCTATATTATTTAGGGATTTTCCACGTAAATTTTGTCTCTTTTATCTTCCATTTTTTTTCTCAAATTATCAGTTGCGATTTTGCTCTATCTGATAGTCGTCTTCCGCAACAGAACCTTCCAAAAATACTATCATTGATACCTCATTTGTACCTATCATATGTTATAAGCTCAAGAGTGATATTAACAAATTTTTAAATAGGTTGACAATTTTGGACATACAAAAGATGTTTGAGTAGGAGATGGTAGCTTTCATCTCGACTAATTTTCTTCTATTGAGTGTTTCATATTCACCACATCAATTGTTGATGCGATCTAAATGAAATTACCTTATCCTCATTTATTTCTCTACCTCTTCTTGAAGACATACAACATGAACACCAACTGACGACTGATTCCTCGCCATTTACGACTCTTCGTCTAAACTAAATAAAATGATTTGTCTACAACTATTTAATTCCATCAACAAACATAAATACAACACAAAAACTAATAACACAATGTTATCCTAAGAACATATTAAAAATTAATCTCAAGACCCATAATAACTATATCTATATATAACTAAATTCCCAAAGATACCATTGAATTTAGAATTACATTTCTTACTCGTGCACAAATTGTGTCTTCTATTTTCGTCCATATAGTATTTTTGTATAAATTTAGTCCTTAAAATTGTTTAATTGATATTTTATATTTAATCTCTAACTTAAAATCCTAAACTACAGCTTAAACCATAAATAATAATAAATATTTTAAATATTTATGCAATTGAGATAAATTAAAACAAAAATATTATAGAGGCGAAAATTATAAATTAGGTGAACAAAAGTTAATCTTTTAAATAATTATTTTAACAACTCCAACATAAAGAATGAATAACAAATAAATAAATATTATATTTTTAAAAGTAATTTCCTTACTTTTACATTGGAAAGGGAAAATACTTATCACTCACAATCACAAGTCACCACCGAATCCAAGAAATGTGTTTCCGACTTAGCTGTATCTCATTAATTTCCCACTTCGCTTTCGACAGAAGCAAATGACCAATTAAAAAAAGAGGATAAAGAAAGCTCCTCGACCCAACGTATAATTTTATGTCACATGACATGACAAAATTATATTTCATAATGCTATATAATAGGGTAAATTATAAATTTACCTATTAAATTTTATTCTCTCTCTTATTTTTTTCACTGAATTTTAAAATTTTCGTTTTCATCACTAAACTTAATATATTGAATTTTTTTTATCATATTACCATTAAATAGTTAACGACATTAATCGAAGTCGTATTAAACAAACAAAATTTTCACTAAAACGATATTATTTTGTATCTATATAACAATTAATTTATAATGCCTTAATGAGAAAATGACCAAGTGACCTGATAAACCCAATGCATTAAGTTTAATTAGAAAATTGAAAAGATTTAAAGTAAAATAAGAAAAATAAGAGAGATAATAAAATTCAATTATCAAATTTATAATCTATCCATAAAAATATATATTAATGATAAAATTAAATCATTAATTGAAACTATAATAAAATTAAAATTGTAAAAATTATCAAGTTATTTCAGTGATAAAATACAAGGTTATTAGATCTAAAGATTATGAATTCAAACAATTACACCAAGTGTTTATATTTCTCAATAAATTAAATTTTTTTTGAATAGATTCAACATTATAATAATCCCAATCAATTCAAAAAATAATTAAATTATATACAAATTAATTTTTCTTTATAAAAAAACGATAGTCTATATTGGTCCTCTCAATCAATCACTACATCTAACATCTGTCGTATGTGCATGATTTCTTGAGTGAGATTAGCACATTCAGTTTCTTTGGATCGAAAGTGACATCACATTCGATTTTCATGTAGAACCTTGGCTTAACCAATTTCCCCAACACATAAGCTCTCGATCGGACCACGAAGCTCAGTTTAAGTGAAACCGGAAGCAATGTTGTGCCGGTTGAACTGCTCAAACTTGCTCCACTTCCGTACAAAGGAACCCTGTTCCCCATTACCGTTACAGATACAGACCTTTGGCTCTTCCTTGATTGATAAAATTTCTTCATCTGATACACTCCAAGATTCAACATTTAACTAAAGATTTCGATTAAATGCAAATGTTTGGTACTTTATAATTTTACAAGTAGACTTACGGTTCCAGATGCAATGTTGATTTGAGAATATGAGAGATCTAGAGGAGTTGAAGTGACATGGACGCCAAAAAATGTTCCAGTGTTACGATAAATCATTTTCACGGTGGAATTCATAGTGATCATATCAGTCGACACTCCACTGAAATCGGAACCAGCTTGGATCTTGAATTGTTCAATTTTGATACTCTAGAAAGATCAAATTAAACAAACCAATCATACCCATTTCGTGATTCAATCTGAAGAGTTGATAAGAATTATGGAATTTACCTTCATTGTGATCTTGGGTTTCTGGGATTTGCTAGTTCCCCAGAGAATCAAAGAAAACATGGAGAAAAGGAGGAGGAAGCCAACAACAAAAGTTAGAAAATAGCATCTACGGGGGAGTCCCTTCTCACGCTCTTCGTCTTCAAGCAGCCCTTCTTCTTCAATCACATCGCATTCTTTCCACTGCTTTTGTCCCTTAGACGACGCGTCGTTAGGGGAAACCTTGCGGGATCCGGGTTTAACCGACCCTGAAAACCTACTCGATGAGGAATCGCGCGAGTGACGGCCGACGGAGGAATGGGAGTGCGGGGGAGAACCCGTGGGACTGAGCACAGGTGTGGAATGGAACGACGTCGTTGTTTTCTCTCCGTCGTGAGAAGGACTCTGGACATAGTAAACAGGACGCCGAGGGGACCTCGTCGGCGAAGATGGGGCGAGGCTTGTCACCTCTGAATCTGTCTTGGCATGCATTTTCGGCGGCGTTTACTTCAGGTTCTCTCACTCAACACATGCCAACAATTTATGGGAAAGTTGTGTTTTGCGGAATTGCATGAGTGTATGTATGATGATGACTTTATGGAGTTTGTTTGTCGAGTGAAGAATAAGTAAAAGTGCAATGCAAGTTTAATTTGCTTTATAAAAGTGAAAATTTTAAAAACTAGTACAACCAGTACCAGAGACCAAAGTGGGTGCTTAGGGATGGGTTAAGGTTTAAAGAACGAAACCACTCAAAGCAGCGACGAATTCATTACCAACGGTAATGAGCCAGTTGGGTGCTCTTGCTTGATACTGAATCATCTATTATTATTTATACTTCTTTGTCCATTTTGTTCTTCCGCCACCAAGCAAAGTTATACCTAGTTGCCACGTTTAAAGTAGGTTTTTTATATTTTATATTGGAATAATTTGATTTCTATATTATTAGTGTTATGTCGGAAATCACAAACACCATTGGGCACATTACATAATTATTCATTAATATTTGAGTAATTTTTTTCCACCGATGTTTAAAAATTAATGATTTGGTCACTAATGTTATTGACTTATAACAAATCACTCATTTAATATTGACAGTCGCTACTGGATTAATTAGATATTGATGTAACATATTAAACTAACTGACATGATATCGTTTGACCACGTGAAACATCTATTTTGACCAGTCGTTTAACTATCATCTCTTGTAGCTTAACTATTAAGGATATTGTTTCTGGCTGCTATCCATCCACCCTTGTCCTCCAGAAACACCGTCGTTAGGTCATTGTTCACCCAGTTGGGAACTGACGTCCTCTGCTCAACTTGTTCCTTCATATTTTGTTCCAGAATACCATACACGTCCAACATATTTTGTTCCTTCACCACCTGCTCAACTTGTCCAAAGAAACATCCCAATATTTTGTTCCAGGATACCATACACGAGCCGGGCGCTGGTTCGTAAAAACGGAAAGACGAGAAATGGAAACACTAATAATTGATTTGAACTTGGAGGCGTCAAGCTTCTTCCCCAGAAGGTCTGCCTACTCCTCGAGTTTGATGAATAATTTAACTTTGAAGGAAGAAAACAAACGAGGCTAGGATTATGTTGATTGTACCTTTTATATGTTTTGATGTAAGGCTAACCATGCTTCTTCAAAAATAGAGAAGTTGGCAACCCTGTTGTTTCTCGATCTAGGAGAGACACCAAATGCTACACTTGAATCAATAAGTAATCTGCACAAAAGTAAAAGAAAGAAATGATTAAAAATAGAATATGGAAGAAGAAAACAAATGATAAGAAAGGAAGTGGATAGAAAATTTATCAAAGATGGGCTGCGGAAGTGTTGTTGAAGAATCCTTTAAGAGTTGATGAATTCGGCCTCCAAATGATGTTGTTGGACGTATGCCTTGTTGATGTTTGAAGGATAATTCAAGATGAAGAAATGGAAATGGAATTTGGTGATGATATAGGCGTGATATGGTGATGGACTAGGGTGATGATATAGGCGTGATAATGGTGACGGAAGATGGTGATGAACAGATTGTATCTTATAAAACTAAGAAGGAACCAATGCTATAAAAGAGCAAAGACCCGTTTCTTATAAGTCTTATAAGGGATGGTATTAAAGACTTTGACTCGCTAGTTATAAGAACTAGGAACCAAAAGTATAAAGGGATAGGAATGACGCCACAAGCTTTAGAAAGGCTTGCTTAATCGATATAGTTCTAAAAAGAACTTAAAGAGAGAATTAATATCACAAAGAGTTTATATTATCAAAAGGGTTGATTTTACAAATGAAATATCCAAGCCTATTTATAGGCTAGCATAGGTTTGGCCGAATAAATAGGTGTCCATTCGGCTAAATACATGACTATTAAATAGAAATACGTGATGTTTTAATGAATGAAGATGTCCTTGGCCGAATGGTCTCCCTGCTCTTCATCTTGGCGCCAATTTTGAATCAAAAGGATGCTTAGGCCGAATAGAGAGAACCCTCTTCATTTTGACGCCCATTTTATCCACACGCATGGCACATGTGTGGGCTGGTCATGAGGCACTCACATGGGTGGCTTGGGGTCTTATGGTGTGTCTCCTATTTGGCGTGAAGTTGAGCAGCAACTTAGGTGTGACTTTGCACCCAACTTGCTTCTAGATGACATGGCGTCAATGGGGCACCAACTATTTATGAAAGGTCACATTTGTGGAAGGCAACCTTTCATCATTTGAGCTACTTCCCATGTGTTTGAGCTGAAGATGAGCTGGCCATAGATGAAGGACATGTGTATAAGACATAGGACAGTTCCTTGTGAAAAGGCACTTCTCGAAATGGCAACTCTTCGCGAAAAGGTACGAAGTCACAAAAATTGACCTAGACCATATTTGTAGTGTTCTGTGTGGTGAAGATGTTGGTGCAACTCTCCAGCTGAAATGAAGTCTCTAGCTAGCTCAAAAGTCCAGCTCAAGTGAGCTATGAGCTCGGGGGTCAGCTGACAACTTTTCATCATTTGTTCTTCATGATCTCCCGAGTCATCCTATGGAAGTTTTTCTATCTCATTGACTCCCATGCTAGCTTTAAATCAGCTCCTATCATGTGGCTGAACATATACCTACAAAAGAAAGCTTTTATAAGCTAAGTAATATAATGTATAAATGTATAAATATATGGTTCATAGATTATATTATATGTCAACATAAAATATATTATATAATCTATTGTTTGGGGATGTATTCTTAAATGATTCAAAGGTTTTAATGTATTTGGTAGTAAGAGCTTCCCTGAATAGTTTGGCTCTTAATCGAGTTATTGGTCCTTGTGGCATTACTTCCATATCCTTTGAAGATGGTGTTGGTGTGCTCACATCATCCCCCCTTCTTTTATTCGATTTGTCCCCAAATTGTCATCATCTTTGATTGGAGATAGATCTGCTATATTGAAGGTGACACTTACATTGTATTCTCCGGGAAGATCCAACTTGTATGCATTGTCATTAATTTTCTCAATGATTTGAAAAGGACCGTCTCCTAGGAAACCTTTCTTTTCGCAAATGCACCCATACCCAATCTCCAACTTCCAAATGGAGTGGTTTACGTCCCTTATTGGCTTGTTGCTCATACTGCTTTGTTCTTCTCTCAATATTGTGTCGAACTTGTTCATGTAATTTCTTGATGAACTCATCCTTGTTCTTGCCATCCTTGTTAACCATTTGTTCTTGGAGTAGAGGGAGAAGGTCCAAAGGAGTTAAGGGATTGAATCCATACACTACCTCGAATGGTGAAGTTTTTGTGGCTGAATGAACTGACCGATTGTAAGCAAATTCAACATGTGGTAGGCAGTCTTCCCAAGTCTTTATGTTTTTCTTGATGATGGCTCTCAATAATGTTGATAATACTCTGTTGACTACCTCCGTTTGCCCATCAGTTTAGGGGTGACAGGTTGTTGAAAACAACAATTTAGTTCTAAGTTTGTTCCATAATGTCCTCTAGAAATGGCTAAGGAACTTAACATCTCGGTTAGAAACAATGGTCCTTGGTATGCCGTGTAATCTCACAACTTCTTTGAAGAATAGATTAGCCACATGGGTTGCATCATCGGTTTTGTGACATGGTATAAAATGGGCCATTTTGGAGAACCGATCAACTACCACAAATATAAAATCTCGCCCATTTCTTATTTTTGGCAGACCCATCACAAAATCCATAGAAATATCAACCCATGGTGATATAGGAATGGGAAGAGGTGTGTAAAGTCCATGAGGCATGACCTTTTACTTAGCCTTTTTGCAAACAATGCATCTATCACAAACCCGTTCAACATCCATTTTCATTTTAGGCCAATAGAGATGTTCTTTCAAGATTTCCAATGTCTTACCGATTCTAAAATGCCCCATGAGCCCTCCTTCATGTGCTTCTCGTACCAATACTTCTCGAAAGGATCCTTGTGGAATACACAACCTTTCTTCCTTGAATAGGTACCCATCATGTCTATAGAATTTCTCCACTGCACCTTTTTCACAAGACTTGTATTTCTCTCCAAAATCATGGTCATTAGCATAATAATCTTTAAGGAAAGAAAAACCAATTAACTTAGAGTTCAAGGTGTTAAGAAGAACATACCTTCGTGAAAGGGCATCTGCAACAACATTCTCTTTACCTTTCTTGTAGTGAATGACGTATGGGAAGGACTCAAGAAATTCTATCCACTTGGCATGTCGTTTGTTGAGTTTGTGTTGGCCTTTAATATGCTTCAATGCCTAGTGATCAGTATGAATGACAAATTCCTTGGGCCATAGATAGTGTTGCCACGTTTCTAATGCCATTATAAGAGAATACATCTCTTTGTCATAAATGGGATAGTTTAGTGAAGCACCACTTAACTTTTCACTAAAGTATGCAACTGGTCGTCCCTCTTGAGTCAAAACGGCACCTATACCAATTCCAGAAGCATCACATTCTATTTTAAAAGTTTTATCAAAATTAGGAAGTACCAGAAGCGGTGCTTTAGTCAAGCATTCCTTGATGGCCGTGAATGATTCTTCTTGTTCTTTTCCCCATTCAAAGGTGAAATTCTTTTTAATTACCCCAGTTAAAGGAGAGGCAATAGAACTAAAATTGGGCACAAATCTTCGGTAAAAACTTGCAAGTCCATGAAAACTTCTGACTTGACTTATTGATGTAGGTCTTGGCCAGTCCTGAATTACTTTAATCTTTTCTGGATCTACTTCAAGTCTCTGTGAACTTACAATAAATCCTAAGAATGTAAGCTTGTTAGTGCAAAAAGAACAATTTTGAAGGTTGGCATAAAGTTTCTCTTTTTGGAGAGTTTCAAGTACTAACCTCAAATATTGCACATAATCATCCAAAGTATGGCTATAAATCAAAATAGCATCAAAACATACCACACAAAACTTACCAATAAAAGCCCGGAGTACATGGTTCATCAACCTCATGAAAGTACTAGGTGCATTAGTTAGTCCAAAGGGCATAACCAACCATTCGTACAATCCTTGCTTTGTTTTGAAAGCGGTTTTCCATTCATCTCCTTCTCGCATCCTAATATGATGATATCCACTTTTAAGATCAATTTTGGAGAAGATGGTGGCACCACTTAGTTCATCCAGCATATCGTTTAGCCTTGGAATTGAGTGTCAGTATTTGATAGTGATCTGATTAACTGCTTGACAATCTACACACATTCTCCAT